ATGTATTGTCTTTAAACTAACTGTTTTGTCAAAATTCACAGTAATTAAGGTGAATGTAAAGGTGAATGCATGCTAAGAGGTTACTTGCTAACCATTGTCTTTGATGTTTGCATTGTTAACGGATGTCTATAAGTCACTAAGTTTGGGTATTGAAGTGAACTTGCGAAAGTGCAATTTTTTGGGTTGTCAGCAGGAGATAAGACTGCTGCAGTTCTTTAATACACACTGTCCCATCCAAATAAACAATGTAAATACAAAGTGGATCTGGAAAGTCCAAACTTTCTCCTCCCACTTGCACCAGTATTGTATGAAAGACGCGAACATTATTCCAAAATTGTCACTTATCATTTTTCTCATTGTGAACATTCCAAACTTCTAACATCCCCAATGGCAAAACCATTATTCCATAGTAATGAGAACCATACACTGTTGCCTCCTTTGCACGACACCTGAAAGTAATGTGCCCGTCAAACCTCATTCAATATCTTTTTTTTTTGCAACAGCTGACACCGTAGCCATGGAAACAGATGATTGATGGCAGCGTTTGGGCCGGGACGCTGCACTCGGCTCCGTGTGAGTGAGTGTGGCTGCAGGCGATATCAGCCGCTACCACAGGAGTACATAAAACCACAGTCTGTAAAGAGGACCACGACAGAGAGAATACAGAGGATTGACCTGCTAAAGCCTGTGCTTTAGAGTCTTTGTAATCATCAATCCACCGCAGAGCAGGAGACATCACTGTGATAGTCTCAACGCTGCTGCTGTTGTTGTTGTTCCAGAAAGAAAGGGAGAAAGACGACGAGTGTAATCATGAGCCAATCATCTTTGAAACGCTGTAGGCTTAAACCTGGGGAACTTTCTTTGTTCATAAATAACACATTCTGTCCGTAGAATCCGCAGAAAGAAGCTTTACAAATAATCAAAAACATCTGATAGTGTCGGTATTTGACACGTCAGGCTTATTGATTGAGTGATGGTGGACCTCTCTTCACCTTTCTGTCTGAAAAAAAAACGGATCTATAGATGTGAATGAGGCAAGACACTGCAAAAAGTACGGAAAATTAACTTACAAAATCTCTCACAATTTGGCAAAATGTATCTTGATTTTAGCGCACTGGCCTTAAAACAAGATTTGCTCATGGGACAAGCAAAATGACCTTCCTTAATTCAAAAAAGATACAAGAAATGTCTCCCTTGGAATTAGAAAATAAATCAATAGTTATAGAGGAAAAGACTTAAGGCCTTTATCCCATTGGTAAATCTTGTTTTAAGCAGTCAGAAAGTCCCCAAATTAGAGTATAAACTTGATTTAAGCAATTACTACCTCCATAACACTGTTTTTGTCAGTGTACAGCATTACGGCGAGATGTCATATCACATTTTAGAAACCAGACTCACTTATTCCATCCTCATTATTTGCATATTTTGAACATGGCAGAGAGGATGCTTGGCAAATGTGGAAGGTAGAATTTAACAACCTATTTTGACAAATGTCTAGCCTGAATGTTGAGTCATTATGGAATCCTAGTGACTGCCTGGCCTCACATACATTATTGTGTGTTGGGAAAGAGGGAGACATTCATTGAATTGCTTTGGCCCATGGGTCATGTTCGTCATCAGATTTTGCATCTCTCAAAGTCTGATATCTGGTTGTATTTATTTGCCAGCACTGTAAGCTCCTATAACATATTTCTACATCAATTATTTATGGGATGATGAGTTGACACTGAACCTGAAAGAACAATCAAATTAACATATCTTTTTATCAGATCTTGGTCGTGTGATATTCAAGGTTTTTTTGTTTCACCAGAATTCACCTCTGGATCCTGTAATACCCTCTCTTCACATCAAACCCATCGATCTATTCCTGTGTCATTTCTAAGGTATGAAAGTGACAAGGGGATAGATCAATGGGTTTGGGTTGTGACTATAGTGAAATATGTAGTCTCCATTTTACCCATCCTTCAATGCCACTAGGGCCTCTGTCAGGTCAGCGCCCAGAGACCTATCTACAGATGCTCTTCAGGACCGGTGCTGGAGGATTTGACCTATGGTACATGATTTGGGTGGTTGGGGAAAGCAGAGTGACCAGAGGAAACCCACCCAGACACAGAGAGAACATGCAAAGTCTACACAGAAAGGTCCGGGCTGACAAAGGACCAAATGCTTCCCACTCTGACACCTATACCCTTTCCCTGGGAATCATATACACCCAAAATCTGGCATCAACTAGTCCTCTCTCACTCACATCACAACATCACAACCATGGACCTCCTCAGCCTTTCTATCGTAGTCCAACACATGTATTTTAGCTTTTCAACATCAGTATCATCCGTCAATGCACCAAAGCTTGCCTTCCATTTCTTTCTGCATCTCCAAGAAGACATTTTACTATCTTTTGTGTTCTTGGGCACATCTCTACATCGCACATTTCTCAATTTTGGAACTTTCCTCTAAAAGTAAAAAGGACAACAGCCCTTTGTGCGTCCATGCCTGCACGCCACTGCCATCTCTCCGTGTGTTTGTCAAGTCTCCGGTCCAGAGGCAGTCGGAGCCAGGCGGAGGTGCCAAGGCTGAGTGGCGACAGCTGGCCACCTCTCCCTCATTTTAAGGGTCATCAACATTTAATATAACATTAGAGGCTTCGCTGGAGTCCCTTTATCTGCTCTGACAGCGTTGACTTAATTATGCGCAGTGGTGTCCAAGTCGTCCAGCCCGCTCTGACACCCGCGCAGGGAGAAGAGAGCGGGGACATAGGGCCGACGTTTTTACCACTTGGCCTCACAGGAAGACGGTTTGATGTGGATGAAAGTGACGCGAGGTGGCCTGGGTCTTAAATAAAGCTCTTTATACGCGCACACTTTTTTTTCTTTTATGCGGCTGGAAAGTAGGTCTTTTCTCTGAGGCTCAGCCCCTTTGGTACAGCCGTCATCGTCTGCTTTTGTGCCGATGCTGCCCGGAAGTCTCCAAACGCACAACAAAAGCTGACATCCAGGATTACCGTCAGACCCGTACGCACAGTTCTGAGGCACGTTCAGCAGGAGATGATGGGGGAAGACAGGGTTTGGGTGGAATTTCACTGCTAAAGTGTGGAAGTAGGTACAATCAGAAAACAGTACTTTTATTGCAATTATTCCCCTCAATTTGTAAATATTTAACATTACATATTACATTATTGACATCTACAGCATTGAGCACAGAGCAAGTAGTGGGAGAGAAGTGTGTAGGGTCGGAGAGTGTTTGGGCCTGTGTGTTGTCAGACTATGTGTGTGTGTTTTGTTTTGTCTGTCTTATACCATCGTGGTAGTATTACTGTTCATACTGTACCCTTGTATGTTTGAGAACTATACGGCATGGCATTGTTAAAACTGTAAGTGTGATTGGGTTGGATCCAAATAAGCATTTCCTTCATCCAACTATACTTTTCTCACCTTTGGTATAGGCTATTTGTCCGTTATATTGATACATGTAAAAATATGTATTGTGCAGGTTTGAAAAAAAAATAAAAATACTGCAAAACATGATTAAATAAGTGGTCATATTTGCTTGAATCTAGTGTTTGTTTGTTTTTTGAGAACATTCTGACTGTCTTAAAACAAGATTTGCCAATGGGACAAAGCCATTTAGTCTCATTTAAACTGTTTCTATATTTTCTCATTCCAAGGGATATTTAAGGGGTATATTTTTTGTCCTGTTGGCAAATGTTTTAAGGCAGTCAGAATGTGTTCCAATTAAGAAACTTTAGCTTATTTGAGCAACTTTTGACTTATTTTTCACAACTTTGTGCAGCGTAACTGTTGCAAGGGACACGCAGCTGTTCTCTGTATGTGTTGTGTAAGACCTACAATGGTTGGAATAAGAGAAACTCAGTGACCCTGGGTCGTCTGAGCAGTTCATTTACTTTACTTTCTGTGTATGGAACTAAAACCTCAGCTGAACTCATATATATATTTATAATAACATAATCTCACAGTGTTCTTTACAGCAGATTGCTCATGGCATAAAAACAACTCCCAGCGGACCAAAACATATTTTTGCAAATTGTTCATCTCTAGCAGACAGATGCTGCAGCAGCTCCTGTGTTATTTCTTTGTGTTTACTTTTGTTAATGTAGTCATTTATACTGAAAAGCTACATACACAGAAGAAGAAGTGGTATCCAAACATTGAAAAGCCAAACTGTTTGAGGTAAAGTGCAATAGATTTTTTAAAAAGTACTAATAAAACCGCATAAGGATCTGTGTGAAAATGGACGAAATACAAACATTTACACTGCAGGGCTTTTAGTTTTGGAAATGTAATTACTCATCTTGTGCATCTTGGTCTTCATAACTTTGTGACTTTTTCTGTATCTTCACAAAGTTTATTTCTATGTCATTATTTTGTTATAAAATGATCTGTTACTTTTGAAATGGGCGGAGTTCATTTAGCATTGGCCATATATTATTTTCAGCTATAATGACCAGTTTTAGCACTTGTAAGGTAGAAAAACATTATAAGAAGTCTTCTTTCAATGAATCTGGTAAAAAACTAAACTGTTTTTGGAGGAATTTCTCAGAATTCTGTTGGTTCGAATGGGTGCAGTCTAAATGACAAGATAAGATAAGCTAAGATTTGATTGATCTCACACAGGAGAAATTTACATATATATATATATATATATATATCTGACATAAATAGAATCAGTCAAGAATTGCGCAAAAGACAGAAGTGTGCAACATGTTAAAGGCAAAACATATTCAGGATTTCAGGATATATTATGTACGATAAAAAAGTGGCAATTAAAGAAACAGTGGCAATAGTAGCGTGGGTTTTTAGTCCTCGTGCAAGGGACTTTAAGTGACTTATTGTACAGTTTGACAGCAGTGGGGATAAAGGCCCTGCGGTTGCGCTCCTTCTTGCACTGAGGGTACTGGCTCTGGAAGCTCTAGTAGTTTCAGAATTCTGGGGGTCCTAGTGTTACGTTTTCATTGTGTTGTGCGGCTCAGTGGTGTCACTCACATTAATGTCCTCCAGGTTGAGTGCGTTGAGGTATTGCTGGTTCCTCCTCCACAGAATGGGGGGTCTGTGCTCTCCGCTGATGGCACAGCTCAGGACCACGCTCTGTCCCACTGTCGCCATGGTGACACTCAGCTTCTGATCGTCCGGGAGGCTCAGCTGGTACACATCTGAAATCAGAAGACCACATCATGGTGAGAATAATTAGGCTTTAAGTTGCTCTGTATAGCACAACTGTTTGAAGAACCTGTATACATCTGGATTTGAAAATTGTCAGAGTAGAAGCTTGTCTCCTATTTTCAGGAAGTTTTCCAAATTTCAGCTGCATTGATCCTAAATTACTTTGGTGTCAATGTTTTTCAAAGTCAAATCAAGTAGAAAAATATCGTTTATTGGAATAAGATCTGGTCAAGATTGAACAACACCTAAATCCTGTGGTAAAAAGGGCAAAAAGTACACCGTCTCTTTATGAGAAAGGTTAAAGGCACATTTGAGCTTTTCGACAATTCTTACCATTTGTATTTTTTCTCAAATTAAATGGCAGCAAGGAGCAAATGAGATAAAGTGAAGTCAATTAAGAGTTTAATCTCAAACACAGAAGATTATAGTTTGGGATGGAAAAACACGGCATTATCTTTGATTTTCTCAATTTAGCCAATTTGACTGTTTTGAGCATAGAGTTGCCAAATCAGTCAAAGAAAAAAATATCTTTCAAGCAAATTGTCCCAAAAGAATGCACTTTCTTTGAGGTACTAGTATATGACCCATCCCCAGTGTGCATGGGCCACACAGGCAGCTGTAGTCTTAGCCTGACACGCAGAGGCATTACAATTAGTGTGATTAGCAAAGTAATGGATATAAATGAAAGTTAACGCTTGGTAAATACAGGTGCATAATGAACGTGATCAGATTAAAGAGGAGCCGACTTTCTCTATTGCGCCTCCGTTGGATCCATGTCCACAGCTGAAGGTCTGCAACAGTTTCAGCGGTTCCAAAGGCATTGTGAAGTGCTGAGAGGATTTCAATTCACAACTATAAAAACTGTTATTATGTGACTCAGTAAGCTGCCAGAGAGTGCATAAGGGGAATCAGAAATGTTTTTAGAAATGGGCAAATGGAGCCAGATGGAAAAAGTTGACAACAAATCATTTTATAATGCTTTTAAAGAAGAAAGGATCACAGTTTTTACATGTATTTGAAAGAAAATAATTTCTCGAGTCATGAGGATGATATATGTGGATGTACAAAATATGAAAAGTGGAACAAAAAGACTGGTTGAGTCTCCTAATGTAGCACATTGGAGCTCAGAGAATAGCTGCTGCTCTTCTATATGACAGTTGTGGTGGCTCATCAGTTTGGGATGCCTCCAAGACAATCTGGAGGACTATCAGAGGAATGTCTCTGTCTCCAAACTCAGAACTTTGTCCCTCTCTAGCCTGGCTATGCCTCTGGATTTCCCCAGATGAGCTGGAGGAAGTGTGTGTAGAGGGTAGTGTGAGCATCTCTGCTTTTACTGCTGCCTCTGTAATCTAGTAATGGATAAAATGGAAGATAGTTCTGAATCCATGTAACAGGTGTTGCCAGTGTCCAGAACACACACATGTGACCGAACCATCTGGATGTCAAAGAAATTGCCAAATTATAAGAATAAATCAACTTCAAAAAATTGATAAGAGAAGGCCTTGTACGAGTTCTGCATGATTACCTTGGGTCCAGAGACACCAATACATCTTATAAATGTAAAAATCATGATACCTTTTTAATTGGAATGAAATGAGCACTGTTCAGTTTTCACAATTTACCCGCCACATGTCCTGCTTTCAATCAAACAATGTACACTGACCAACACTCACCGGCGGCATTATGTAGGGACGCTCGTTTCAATCTCTCTAGCGGCTAATCTGCGACGAGCAAAAAGGGAAACACCGACTCAATTTGTTCTGCTCCTGGAGGCATGAAACACAAGGCTAATGAAAGCACAGCTCCGGACTCTGTTGCCGTGGAAGCATCGGCAATTACAGACCGACTCCTGTGGCCTCTGCGTGACGGCAACCAAGGCTTTTAACCTGCTTCTGTTTTGGGGCGCGCTCGCATTGTGTCTTTGAACTCCTAAACAGACTTGAAGCAGCCGGGCGGGGTCATCTTTGGCACAGTGGAGAGAAAGCAAGGGAGTGGATGAGGCTAATCTCCCCTTAGCCCAGTCAAACCCTGCGAAAGCTTGGTAAATTCTCTGTCGGAGTGCAAAAATGAAAACAAGGGGGGGATATAACAGTTGTAGAGTTTGGACATGATCAAGAAGATGATGAGAAATTGCAGCTCATAAGAATAGTGTATATTGTATTCAAACCAAATTAACCTTCAAGTGACCGAGTGGGGTCGTACATATTAGCCAATTTGTGTGGCAATTATAATCTATTCGTGTGTGGGGTCAGAGGAAGATCTAGGAGATTTTTGACATTATAGCCATAATAGTATTGTAATCTCCCATCTCTGAGCATAATATTTTTTATGTTTTGCAGGGAAGCTCAGCCAACAAACCTAGATAATCAAGATTTACAGATTAACACACGCATTGAGACAAGTTCTGGAATATATTAGGCAGTTAAAAATATATGAAGAACTCTTAAAACAAAAATGTTTTTAGAAATAATCCTCTACAAAAAAAACAGATATTTTCCGTTTGCCTCCCATCTAGTGGTATACATGTGATATGACAAGCTGTTAAAATAAGGACCATACAATCCAATCCAACAGAGGGAATGCAGATATGGCTAGAAAAATGTCGTAAGTTTGAAAATGGAGAATTCAGACAGTCAGGTTAACAAGCTAACATGATAAATACATTTTTGTTGCACATTTTGTCTCCTTCATGGTGCTGTATTTGGGTTGTTTTAAGTCTTTGAAATGCACCTATGGATTTTGGCTCACTCTTTAGAACAGGCTGTTTAGAGAGCAGGCAGGAGTCCGTGTCCCACTGCGAGGGGAGTTTCTAAAAACATGTCGACTGTTCTAAGAGTTTAGACAAGAAAGGGATTTCAGCAAAAGCCAAAGAGAGAACACGATGATGTAAGAAGAAAAAAGGCTTCCTCCGGAGAGCGAAGAGAAGAGAGCGAGGAATACCGCAGGCTTTGGAAACGCTCTAATGAAGAAACTATGGACAATACACACCTTTAGAGAAGGCTGTTTTTAAGGGGGCACACTAAGACCAATTAACTTTATCTGAGATTTGGATTATTATGTATGTATTTCCATAACATGAGATAATTGAGGTAGAACACATTCTGAGTCACTAAATCTACTTGGAAATGGTTGGAACTGAAATGTACCTCAGTGGGACATCTCTATCACTTGGTTGAACTCACTTTTGAATGCTAAAGAAAATTGCTAAAAATATGTTTTACTTTCCTTTTTTAAGGGTGAATAGTAATGGATTAAGAACTTTATTTAGGCTTAAATGCGCTGATAATGTCATGTACCACCCACACATCTGATCTTTGAAAAATAATTGATACTAATGGGTCACTCAGTGACGTGAGTGAAGAAGGGAAGTACTAGAAAGGTTCTGCAGTTTTGAAGGGAATATAAATCAAAATAATATGTTCAATATGCTGTACAGTTCAATAAAACGCTCAAATAAATATGTCAGCCTACTTTTTTTGTACAACATGTTTGATCCGTCAAAAAAAGTTTGAAAGAGCCAAATTCATTTAATCTTTTTGAAATACTCAAACATGTACAGAGAATGTTGTTGTATGTTCTCGTGGTTCAATCCAAAACCATCTCTCCCAGGAGGTAATGTAATCACCAGGGTTTGTTTGTACATCTGTTAACTGGCCAGAAATGTCAAAAATCTCAAAAGTGTTACTTCACTATGCTTAAAGCCGGGGTACTTTGAAACAGTACTTTATTCTGTAATAAAACCCATCTAAACAGTTTGGTTCTATCTCTAGTCTTCAGCCAATCAGCTCTCAGCTTTTAAAGAGTCAAATAGTTCAATATCATAAGTGACATGTTTGTGCCATATGAACCAACTCAGAGTTTGAGGAGCAGAGGAACTGGCCTGCTGCTGGTGCCCAGAGTCAGGACTAAACATGGGGAGGCTGCGTTTCAAATTCCTGCTGCTAAAATCTGGAACAATCTTCCTCTTCTCTGACAATGTTAAAATCCAAACAGTTCTGTTTAGACTTGCATACAACTGAGGGATTTTAAATGTTTCATTTATTTTAATTTTATTTATTTATTGGTAGCTTGGCTCATTTTGCAAGCAAATCCAAGGTCGGATACCGTCTCCGATTTGCGGTCAAGTTACTAAAATGATTTACACGTGTCAATGCCAAAATACTGTCCTTCCTGAATAAAATCCGAACAACGCAAATTGATTCTCATTTGTAACTAGCTAGTTTTCCATGTGGCTTTGTGCGTCTGGGTTTATTCTACATCTGAAAATGAAATTAAAATAGGTAGTTGACTACAACACAAGCTTATGTTCAGATTGAACCAAATTCAAACATTTTTTATGTACTGTGATTATTTATGATTTTGAATGCCTTGTGTGATTGATTCTGGTTTTGTTAAGTACTTTGAGTTGCTTGGTGTTTCAATTGTGCAATACAAATAAACTTGCCTTACCTCTATGCACTTTCTAATATATGAAGACCACATGTGAACTGATTTGTTCACAGCATTTTACTTTATAAGACTTTTTTGCAGAGAGGGACCCAGCTCCCCAATTCTATCTCAGAGGAAATACTTCTCTAATAAGGAGGAAACAAATTTGAGAAATAGGATCATTTAGGAAAGAAAGGGCGGCGGGGTGTAATCAAGCAACTTTGTACCAGAAGTTCCGGAGATTAGTGTGGATGGAGCCAAGAACAAGTTCAGTTTTATTTTTGATTAAGAACTTTGCATTTCTAACACACATGATGCGTGCTTTAAATACTGCCCAGTGATAATGAAGAGGAATCCACCAAAAGAGTGACACTACATTTATATGGTACAAAGCCAGAGCGTTGTCGTGTCCACGTTGCCTGCCTCTTGCGTCAGCTTCCAGTCACATTACAGGTGTTTTTTGGCCTTTATGCAATATTCATTTCATCAGACAACGTGTGCAATATTCATGCATGGGCGCCTTGTTAACCTTCCAACGGCGTGGGCAAGGCGCATGCTTCAT